ATTCAGCCCTTGTTTCCCAACGGTCGAAAAAATGTGGCATTAACAGCACGAAATATATTCTTTTAAATAGATTCATTTGAAATTATTGATGTAGCTTACTTATTTTCGAGTTTTTTGTAAATTTTTAGGAGTTGTTTGTTTCAATATAATCACTCTGTATATTTCGTATTAATGATTCTGAAATATCGACAGGACTAAATTAAACAACACACCAAAATCAATTAAAAAACATTTTATTTTAAAATTTTAACGTCGAATGACAAGATTACTATTTGAATATATAGCAAATATATGGTGATGAAACTTTAATAATAGGACTGTGCATATAAATATATACATCAGTTTTATATATGTATATTGTGATTTACAAATGCGTAAAAATCTTACCTAAAGGAAATTAGTCAGAGTACTGCTAGATTTGCAAGTTTTTTAATTACATATTTTTGTATGTATATTATACCATTATTGCTGTTCTTTCGTGTCATACTATTCTAACTTAGTGCTTAGAAATTTGGATTTTTATTAATCATGGTCCTCCACTTTATTGGAATAATCAGTTTTACTTGCATTTGCCTAATCCAGTTTTACTTGCATTTCCACATTCGAATCTACATATGATTTCAGATATACATAATTTTCCCGATATTCTGTATGAATATCTTTTTTAAATATATCTGTATGTATATTTAAATATATAAATTAATCTGCATAATCCAAATGTCCGAGAACAAAACAAAATAAATAAATATACAAATAAGTAAGTATATATCAATTCATATTAAATACCTACATATGATTTGTTCATTTCATTTGCTAAAATTATGTGGATAGTATTATAATAAATATTAGAAACTATTTTTTGAGTTACAAATTTTGAAATTATTTGAAAATTTTAAGGGCCCAAACATTTTTGGGTATTAATTAGCTACACTTATGTTCTATTTAAAGCTGAAGCCAAAGACTTAGAACTAGAAGGTGGAGTCAGTGATTGAAACATTCTTGTTATATGTTTACAGATTTTAATTACGTCGTAAAAAGAAAGTTTTATCTACGGGATGATCAGTATACATGGCGAGAAGCGTTTTTAGACAAGTTTTGTTTTATACAGGCGTAGAAGGGCCAATAAGAATTTTGCTAATGTCTACTAAGTTTGATTTTTACAATTCCAACTGAAACTGGTAGTGATTCTACAATGATCTATATAAACTATGGTATTTTTATTTAAATTGTGGGACAGGAAGTAAAAAACTTTAATTTAATCAAAAAATCAAGTTAGTATGCATTCTTATCTGCGTTATGAGGATGCTGAATGCGTTTTTAAACCCAAATATCGGTTACAATCAAAGTCATTAATAAATTTACTTAATTTTTTTAAATATGAGGCTACACTTGCAATAACTGTTACAAAGATAAATTAGTAGAAATTCCTGGGTGAGTTTATTTTGAAAAACCTTTCAAGATACTTACAGTTGATTGTATTATGCCTATGTTACACATTTAAATTGTTAAGTAGGAAATTGGTTTCAACGGTTTTTATGGACGAGGTGTCGTAGAAATACTTTTAATAATTATAAGCTGCAAATTTTTCGTTATTTTGTTTTGTTTTTTAGTTTGTTATAAACGTGGATTGATACATATATGCTGGTTATCCAACTGTATAGAATCGTTATGAGAACCGACTAGAGACATAAACCATTACTTAGTTCGATAGCTACTATGTGTGATACTTCTTTTTCAAATCCAAATTATTGGCAGATATTTTATAGAAAAAATACATTAAACAACTATAAATATACCCTATTTTTCATTACTAGCTAGCGCAGTTAACGTAAATTTAACAAACTAAAACTCTAAATTGCTATTTAATAAAATAAATTGTCAATTGTCAATTGTCAAATTTCAATAAATAACATTTTTCATCGTTCATCTTGTTCATCAATTAGTATTTTAATTTTATTAATTTACAGATAAAAAAGTCAACGAATACGAGAACACCTGTTCTCATGTACATGAAACCGTAACTGTACTTTAAATTAAAATTTATATTTTTCATTCCAATGACTGAATAAATTATTTAGATCGAATTTCAAATTGGATAGCTTTTTATTAAATTAACACCTGACAATTCAAAGTATAGAGTGGTTATAAAATGCTTGTATGTACAAATGAGTTTTATTCCGTTAAGCGGAAGCAGACGCAAAGCGCCAAAGAGAAGTAAAAATTGAGAAAAATATAATAAATAATAAATATTACGGCTGGGCGGCATAAATACGACTGGGAATCCAGCAGTTGAATCATTCTTAGTCGGAAAGCACGGGAGATCACTTCGCCCACTGCCTCATCGCCTTTGAAAATGTCCACCGCAGTTGTGGACGAAACGTCGGGAAG